AATGTCCTCTGAGACCAACATGAAAGCCATGTTGATACACAATTGAAGATTCCTGATCATTCCTTTGTATGGGAAAAGCAAGAGGAAGGTTGTCCAGAATCCTGCATATACGACAAGGGTAGTTACAAAAATAATCCATAAGTTAACATCAAAATCATATGTCTGGTCCTTGAAAAAGGATGCCTTACATGTTCACCCGATACTCGTCATCTATCTTTTCCTTAAAGTCCTTCGCCATTTTACCATCAAGAACTATCCGACACACAATAGTACACATCTTTGGTTCCCTCATTTTAAACTGTGAAAGACAATAGTAAATTCTCTTAGAAGTTAAATAGAGAACAAAAATTGAAAAAAAGATCACTGAGAAGCATACCTCAAAAGGAGAGTTCTCTATACGATCACCACGAAGAACTTCTCCAAGATTCTCAGCGCTATCGAATATTTTCTTCGGACGACAATAAGGGAGGGAATAATAAGAGTATGGAAGCTGAGTCTTAATGGAAGTCAATTTGTTTACTTTTACCCTCAGAGAATCTCCCTGCAGCAGTAAAAGAATAAAAACACTTGAGCTGCATTTCATTACAATTCAACAGAAAACCAAGGAAACGCTTGAATTCTCATTTTATCCTACAACGAGCGGAGATTCAGCGCAAAACTGAAATGGAATCAAACATGAAATGCTCTCAGTAATTTGATAATTCCAACCCATTTCCAGTTTGGTACTCCCTAAAACTTCATTTCCAGTTCAAAAGATCAATCAGATAGGGTTACTTTCCAAATCCAAGACCTTTAGACACAAAAATGTCGAACAACCGACAAGCATTACCAGGGGAGAAATGAAATGCACCGAGAAAGAAACCTAAAAGAAAACGAATTCTCAAATTTTCAACCACCCTAATGGCAAGAAAAGCATCAACGCCCAATAATCACACGCAAACGCAAGATCTGGAACGCAAGAACCAAAAACAATGGCGAACACAGAGAAGACAAGAAAAATCAATGCAACCTTGATTGAATCAAAACGAGATGCGAATTCTACAAACCTTATGAAAATCCTGGGGAGCCACACCAGGGAGATAGAAACATGAAGCACGGAAGGAAAGGAAGAGACATGCGGAGATCCAAAGCAGAAACACGAGAGGCCCTCTCGCCATGGCTTAGACAGGGGATCTAAACCCAACCAAGATCCAAAACTTGCTTCAAAAATCTCTTCCCCCTCTTTCAGAGACTGTAAATCGCTGGTTTTCTAATGCTCTCTCGTTACGACCAGAAAGAAGAAGACGAATATAATTACTGTTCTTCGCCCTGACGGATCTTGCCTTTTTCTGATATACGAAGTATCGGATTTCGCCGAGTGAGTTATAGAAGACGGTGCAGCCATTGGCCATTGACAACCGTCCGATCATCTTTTGTGGCCAAAACGTGCGGCGTAGATTGCAATACCAACACATAGGTTCTGATTCATTTTCTGTTGAGCACAAATTCACTCAAATTTTCCAACTTATTTGCAAAGAGAAGAGATGTGTGATTCATTTTAACCGCCAAAATTAGCAACAATTTTATTTCCTTTTTCGTATTTTATTTAGATTTTTAATTCTTTGATATATAATTTTAAAAAATGATATAAAATATATACTTCCGACACATACCTTACAAGTTCAAATCCTCCGTCCATCGTTTGAACTTAAATCTCGTGTTTAACAAGTTCTTAAAATTTTAAGAACGTTTCATATATCTTAAACAGTTTTGTGTCGAATGGAATGAGATCGTGTGCTTCAGTTCTTTCTTTTCTATTGATTATCATTAGATTTTCCTCTCAGATAGAACTGAAACCTCAATGGCTATAATCTGATAGATATTGGTAGCTAAAGAGACCAGTTCTTGAAACAACTTCTTAACATGGAAGAACATTTGATACAACTCTGAGCTCTCTCAGAAGCAATTTTGAAGCAGTTCAAGTGTCATTTGAAGATTATCATACAGTGTAAAACAGTACAGAGAACTTGCTGATATAAGCATCTACTTCTAACACCAATAAACAGATCATTCGGAGCTTAAACAGAGAAAAGTGGGAAATTCTGAGTTATAACAGATTGGTGATCAAGTGTTACTCTTGAGTTGTTGTTTCAAGCATTCTGACGGTACGAGGAAGCATGAATTCGGCAAACAAAGGGTAGTGAGACGACGGGTAGAATCCGTCGATATTATCATTCACCACTTCACACAAGACAGGGATCAAAGATCTACCTCTGAATAGAATCCAATCTACATGTAGATCTTGAGTCTGGCGATCCCAGCAAAGGCAAAGCGCTCGTAGAATCAGCTTGAAAAACTCGAAAGCTCCCTGTTTGTCACCTGAAAAGAATCTGGCAGAGTCGGGCAAAGGCTGAACAAGCTCCTAAGAAAGTTTTGGCTAAGCTAAATTGCATACCTCTGAAACCATGATAGGTTCGAATGAGAGAAACGTTCTTCCTCGCCCGAGCAATTGCCCATGTATCTCTCATGTCCCCCACTGCACCCTTTTCTCTGCTAGCACGAAAGAGAAGCCACGGAACAATTTAGCGTTAGAATAAGTTTCATAACTGAATATAAAATCTACAATGATCTGTCAGCTGAGTAAGATCAATGAACTATGTGAGCTAATAAGGCTGATTAAGACAGCATAAGTTTCTTCCTCCGAGCCACTAAAAGATAACCTATAGATTGGATTGAACACACTATCCAGGTCGATCATTACTAATTCGAAAACACTTTTTTTCGATTACCTCGATCTCCCAAGAAGAAAACGACCCGTAGTCGATTCCTTTTCCGTGTTGAAACCTCCACAATATATAACTGGCAAGCTAGGAGGTAAGGATGCAATGTGCTGCCATGTAAGCAAAGCACTTCGCCTACGAGCACGGGGGTTGAGCTCGTCCATGTTTGTGTTTACTATCTGAAACGAGAACCCAGGAGGCTCGACTCCTTTCAGTTGGAATGTGTGGGCATCATGTCAAGTTAACAAATAACTCAAGGTTCTCCATACAAAGTCAAAAGGATACGTTAAAATGCAATGTAAGAGAATTCTTAACAGAACTCAAGGATATCGCCCATGTCGCAATATGCGGAGCAATCGAACCCCACGACACGCTTCCTGGGACAGAAGGCGATTCTGATAACCAAAACGTGCCACCTTCTAACAGCTCTACCTTTTTAATTGAGGAATGAAATGCACACCAGATTATGAATTAAAACTGATACCAAATCACAAAGGAAAATAATCTGATACCTTCTCCTTGTCATAAAAGATTGTGCAGTGTTCATCTGAATCGTCATGGGATCCTTTTCTTGAAATTCCAAATTTCTCATAGCCTACAAGATATTCAATACTTCAAATTACAGGCTAAGAAAGTAATACAAATACAAAAACTAGAGACCTATGAAACTATCTATATCATTATAACAAGCCTACAAGTTCATACAAATACTCTCAGTAGAAGCGCATACCAGGCAAGCCCTGCTGAAGAAACTCCAACTGAGATTTCACACCTGAACTCGTTAGGGAAAAGAAATTAAGGAATCAGAGAGGCAAATTGTAAGAGCTCACTAATTTATTCTAAGTCAAATGTATCGAACTCAATCACTGAATTTAGCCCCAAAAAAATACTCCACTAAAATGTCCACACTACTAGAATTGGAGCAAACAACAATGAAGCTTCCGATCAAAATAACCCAGGCCATGCCTTTCAAAACTCCAACGAAATCCTATAAAACCAAAAACGCACCAAAAAATCTCGAATCGACGAAGACACAGATGAATTATTGCGACAAAATCCATCAAGGATCAAGATCCAAAAGCATTCGCAGAATCAAATATGCAACACCATAAAGTAGAGTAGAAGTGCAGTAGAAAACAAGCGACCTACCTTGCTGAGTGCATAGAATCGCTGGAGAATAGCTAGTGAGGACACTGATACACAAATCCCTCCTCTTCTCCCATGAATTTGAACTCTCTGGAGGTTGATCGTCATGGAGATTGAAGGTCATTACAGTCAAAGTAACGCTCATTTTTCTCCAGAATTTCCTCCTCAATCCTTACCTTTCCTTAATCATTGATTCTAAACCTAAAAAGGATCAGAAGCAGCTATACCCTGTTGCCACATTCCATCCTTCTGGTACAGGTTGAGGAATCAGTAGTGGCTGAGCTTAGAGAGAGAGAGAGATCCTTAGTTAATTTGATCGTGTCCGAAGGGAGGGCACTGGGTTTTAACAAGGCACGTGAGAGTCCCACAATTCGATGCCCAGGTCACGTGACCAATCTCGAATATGACTATTCTTTTTGATCGATTTACCAATAAATAAAGTGATTATATGATTGAAAATATTTAAAATAATATTTCCCACTTCAATTTTGAATAAATATTTGCAATTATTGAGACATAGACACCATATCGAATTTTGACCATTAATAACAATAAAATAACTTTATTTCAAATCCATGATATGAATGACAAGATTTTATAATTCAAATATTAAGAAATAAATATAATTTTACTTTTTTATCCTTTTTGTAAATTGAGATTTATTGAAAAAGGCATTTTTTTTTTTTTGCTAACAAAATCATAGTGGAGCTCAACAACTTTTAGCTTACACAAGCAAAACTTTATGGCAACCACATTATATTTTGTTTATTAAAAAAATATGGTATGATTTATTTACGAAATTTAATTAATTATTTTCCATGAACTAGAAATTAAAATTTTATTTATAATTGTGTAATTACAAAGATGAACATTCATAAATAATAATAATAATGATGAAAAAAAAGTCCAAAATCCTGACTTCCACGTCAGGCATTGGCTTTTAGTGTACTGGAGGTAGTGCCAGCGTGGCACAGACCAATTTCTAAGATTCTCGTTCACTTCATTACTGTTTATGGCTCAGAAGTCAGAAGAGAATAATATTTAAAAAAAAAAAAAAAAAAGAAGCTAATTCTGTTTCTTCTTATTAACCCTATCAATCCGGAAATATAGTCTCTCATTAATTAACTTGGGAGGGGGGAAAGGCTAGAATAGCTGAGGTAGGCCGCTGCTACCAGTTTCTTCTAAGAACCAGAAAATGAAATCATCATCCCCGTGCCAAATCAGGGAGGTGTATAATGAAACCAAATTTACACAACTGTTACGTAAATGGCTAAGGGAAAGAGGGGAATGAGAAAGGGAAGACAAAAAGAAAGAAATAGCTCAACAGTAACCAAACCTGCTGATCAGATACACACACAGCCATGAATGTTCATACCGAGTCGCACGGTTAGTTTAGCAGGGCTTGATTTCAAATCCGATGCTCAAAAGTGTTCGAGCAGATTCCATTGCCTTCTCACCTCCAAGCTCCAAGGCCTCACCAGTCAACTCTCCTTCAGCATCCACAGACCACTGTGTTGAAGAAATTTGGCTCTCGGTTAAGTTTGTTTTCTTTGGTTGCGTATTGCTCATGGAGGCTGGAGCTGCAGCAGCTACACGAGGAGCACTTGGTGGACTGTGTCGTTTCTTCGGTACAGGCATGTCGTGATCATGAACTCCCTTGTATGTTATAATCACTGCATATGGATTTTCTACTGCTGATTCAATATGCTTACGGACTGGACACCCAGCAGAGGTACATCGGTAGTAGTTCCTTCATTGATTTTTTTTTTTTAAAGAAAAAAGAACATCATCAAAATCAGACAATGCAAAGCATCAGAATATGATTTCGTAATATATTTGGCGGGATATAGAAATTCATTGGAGAAGGAAGGACAGTCGGGAATATCCAAAGCTTATGCAGTCGTATTAAAAGAAACTGTCTTATTTTTTCTCAAGTCAACAGTAAGACATAAATAACCGCAAAACATAAATTATGAAAAGGTATGCACCTAGGATGAGGACTTCCTTTCACCATTTTCTGACCATACTTGCGCCACCTGTATCCATCGCCCGAGATTCCCACGTCACCCGCTGCATGCACCACAAATTTCGGTTTCTTTCCAGGTTTTAAGGGAGTACCTGAATATCCCGCACTACTTTTCTTAACTCTAATTACCAGTAAGAAAACAAAACATTAGCACTACATCAGGCTTATATATGCTAAACATTATATGCAAAAGTAGAAATAAGACAGAGAGCTCAGTAATTCAAGGTGCAGACTTACTTTTGTTTTGTCTCAGGTTCGCCGTCATTCTCATCTTTGATTTTAAATTCATCATTTCCATCAGAGTCACTCGAGTACTGTCGTTTCCTTACAAGGACTAAAGCTGTTTCCCGTGAAGGTTCTTTAGAAGGCGTGGGAGGATCTGAATCATTAATTACTCTTCTGGTATGTTGTGTAATGATTTGCTTAACCACAGGCTCAACATATGGCACAAGCTGTCTTTCCTTGGGGTTGCTAATCATCCTAGGTGGATCGTGACTATGTTGGCTCCTGTAAACAATCTCTGTTCTATGGCCTGAGTGATCACAACATTCTATCTTCTTAGCACAGCATTCAGAATATGTACACTTGTAATAACTACGCGAACCCTTAGGACTCTTCACTTGCTTCTGACCATATTTTCTCCAATTGTAACCATCAGAAGCAGGTGTCCTAACATTGGGAACCGATGATGCAGTTTTATGGTTGGAAGAATTTTTCTGGCTTGGCTCTGGCTTACATTCTTTCTGGACCTTCTTAGGTGACAGTTTATGTTTGGATAAACTTGGACTTGCGGAGGATGAGATAGACTGGGTAACAGAAGTTGGTGATTGTTCCGGATCAGGTCCTTTATATATTGACAACTGAAGCTGGCTTTGTTCTTGCACCTTATCTGTCTGGGTTGCTTCAACAGCCAAAGGCTCATGGCAGGAAGATGGAGATCGCTGCTTACGAGAATGAGGAAAAAAAAAAATTAGCATACCAAGGCATCAAATCATCCATAAGATCCTAGCTCTTAAGTTATTGTGCAGCGCTGAATAACAGAAGTGCATTGATGTATTTAACGTGTATCTAAAATAAAGAATATAACATGTATCTAAAATAAAGAATATAACATGTATCTAAAAGAAGTTAAAACGCTCAAAGAACCAAACTAGGCCCAAACAACTAACTCTTAAGTTGTTGCATCACAAACTCTTGCTCAGCAATTCTCTCACCTCCTGACTTGTATATATTTTTTTGGTAGGAAACAAACAACGTCAATGGCTCATAGAGAAAACATCAATGATTAATCATTAACTTTCCATTCAAATGAACATCTTAAACTGCATCTTTGAGGGAGACAAATACCAGTTAATAAGCTTTGAAACAAGAACATTGGTCATATTCATAATCGACAAATATAAACAGAAAAATCAGAAAGTGGAAGTGCTTCAATAATATGGGGAAGGTATCAAGAATATGACCAAAGATTCGTGTATCCTTCATATTTGATCACAAACAACAAGTATTAATATAATAGTTAGTTTGACTGGAAACGGCAGCCTCTTAAATCATACATTTTTTTGTAAGGAAGATTGTAAAGAAAACACAGCTTCCTCTCTATAGGCTCTATAGCCAAAGGGCATAAAAAAAAAACAAATGGTAGATGGCCCACCTACCAAACAAAGTAGTTTCTTTTTTTTTGTTCATTGTGGCTAGAATTCTAGATTCGGTCAACTGTAGAAGAATTATTAAGTTTTGAAAGGAGATGTAGAATAAAAAGAAGAAAATTGAAGCACAAAACTCAAAACTCTTCAAGGCCAAAAATATCACAGTTTAGAGAAAGAAGCTATATAAGGCTGAATTAATAAGGCCAAAAATATCATACCCAATCGTTTGCCTTCCAAATCTCAAATTTCACAATTCTAGGACAGCGCCATCTGATAATGTTAAGGTTATGAAATGTAATGCAACAAAGATGACAGAAGGAAAGTATCCTCCTCATGAATATAAAGTTCATCAAGTAGATTTTTTTTTGTTCTGTTTTTAATTTTATTTCCTGTTCAACGTTCAGGCAGTATCCTAAATGAAAATGCATCAAACAAGAAGCAAAACTCCCACATTTTTATGGAATTCCAGTAAAAATGCCCATCATTTTGCATCAGATATTATTGTGGAGCAACAAAATATTCACATGCCATCTTATTTGACATTGATTTTGAACTAGACTACTCTTTCATCCATGATTCACACTAGATAATGAAGCTATCTCATGAATTAGGAACAAAAATGATTCCTCTCTCAATGAATCTAAAGTAAAGGATAGAAAGTAAGCTAATAAATCCAATGTGTTTCAAATGAGAATTGAAAATACTCAAATGTTACTTTTTTCAATAAGAAATGAAAACCGGCATAATGTTTTGCATTAGATAATCGAGATTCTATATTTTTGAAGCAGAGATAACTAAGCAAGTCACAGAGAGACAATCTTAGTAGTACATGAGTTATTAGCAGATTGAGATGAGTTTTACTGACTGGCTGAACGCTGGAGCTTAACTTTAGAAAAATCGATTCAACTTCAACAGGAGGGTAAACAAAGAGAAACGGAACATTTCTGCCTCTCATCACTCTCTAATCTCATAAACAATAATCTTCCTAAGCTGCGTATACTGAACAACTTTAATTTACCAGTTGAAATCTCACTACTGGACTTCGCAAACAATATCAAACCAACAAAACCGATACAAGCAAACAATTGAGAAAATAATCGCTTATCGTGGAATTGATCGAGCTCCTTACCTTCAATTCAGCTTCTTCGAGTGACTGCGCAGCAGAATCGACGGGCAAACCTGTAGGATGAACAAAAAAAAATCACACAGAGAAAAATTCCACCAAAAGCAATTGCTTAAAGACTAAATAACACATCCACCGATACAGCATAAATTCCGTTTCCAAAAACCAACCGTTCTCCGAGGAGTGATTCGCAGAAGGCGCCGTTAGGGTTTCAGATGGAGACTCCCTCGCCGCAGCTTCAGTAACCGACGAATCGATCCTCAACTCAATCGGTTGCAACTCACTCAACGCTCCTCCATCTTCCAACTCCACCTCTGATTCATCCTCCGAATCTTCCATTTCTTCTTCGTCGTCCTCTTGCCCAGCAGTAACCTTCGAGCTTCCAAGTTGGTCAGTTTCAAAACATTGGCGCTCCGCCATGGCCGATTCTCCTCAAAAGAGAAAAAGGCAAGTGCAAGTCACCAACTATTGCAAATTGTTTTACAGTGTCCGAAGCAAAGCCGAAACCAAGGCGATCCCAAGATCGAGTATCGGAGTCTGCGTCTTAGTGACATAAAAGAATAGATTATGTGAGAGAAAGAAAGGTTTTTAGAGAGAGAGACAGAGAGACAAGATGCCGCTTTCAAGCGAAATGCACAAGTGCTTTTGACTGTAGTTGACTCAGGTGGTTTTAGTTAACGAACGCCGTCAAGTACTCTCTCACTATACAGCCGTCCGATCATGTTTCATGGTCTTATCACTGTTGGATTCTTTTAGTTTGACGGTTCTCTTTCACAGCGTTTGTGGCCACATGGGCTTCCATCTCAGTACGACTAATATCATTGTCCTAATATTTAATATTTTTTCTTTATAGAATTTGTTTTTCCCTAGATTCTGTGCTTTTATTCTTCTATTTAAAAATAGGGGAAAAAAAATATTATTTGTTTCAAAACTAGTTTTTAATTTAGGGAGACAAAGATCTCGTGCCTTCAAATCATAAAGGACATTTTACAACTATATGTTCCATGAATTATTAATCCCCGGTATTATTTTATAAAATAAAAGAACGTTTTATGTACTATAATTAATTTATGCCTTAATGTAAGATCTCACATCGATTAGGGAGGATAACGAAACATTTTTTTTTATAAGTGTGTAGAAACCTCTCACTAGCATACTCGTTTTAAAACTGAGGCTAATGACAATACGTAACAGGTTAAAACGAACAATTTCTGTTAACGATAAGTCTGAGCAGTTACAAATGATATCAGAACTAGTCACCTGTTAGTGCGCCAGGAGGTGGATTGAGAGATCCCACCATGGTTGGAGGGGATAGTGGAAACATCTTCCTAACATACACATTTTTAAATCGTAAGATTAACAGCGATACACAACAGGCTAAAACGGACAATATCTACTAATAGTAAGTCTAGACTGTTATAAATGGTATCAGAACTAATCACCAAACGGTGTGACAGGAGGTGGATTGAGAGATCTCACAAACACCAATGCTTTTGTCACATTTAGAGCCTTGGGACAAGACGAGTCTCACTATCAGAGTAGTACCAATCATACAGCAACATGTCATATGATGATAAGATTGACTATAAGAGTGAAGTATAAAGAATTGTGTGGTTCAGCAGCTTGTCAGTGACATGCATCCAATTACGATGTGTTGATTGCCTTTATGACAATAATTACAGTCATTCATATCGGTCGGGCCAAGCCCTCGCCCTTTTTCAAGGAAACAACAGCCACTCGATAGTGATGAGCTTCAATGACCTTAATAACAACCTCTAGACAAAAGAAGAAAGAGACCAACAGACCAGAAAACCTGTTTGTTTATCTTCCTACTAGAATCCAAGATCTTATTCAAAGGGCTTCTTAGAAAACAGGGGGGGTTATACATTTTATAAGTAGTGTACTATATTAAGTAAAACATGTATGTATCCTTTCAGCAGTGTGCAAGGATCAATAGCTTGAAGTACCTTGCTGATAATATGGTTTTATGCCATATAAACATACTTGATAGAACTTTTGGTTGGGGTGATTCTGAGCCATCAGGTATAACCATAGCTGTGTGTTTTAACTTCTAGGACCGATGTTCTTGAGAGCACAGATCTGCTCCTCTCCCATTGCAGACATGACAGTTACTACAAGATCTTTTCCATGAGCGAACCCCTCTTTAAGCTATTGGCATGAAAATAAATGGAACAATAGATGGTGCTGCAGAAAGCTATAAAGCAATGGCTTGAAGGTTTGTAAATGTAATGGTATAATCATTTATGTACCTGCCTACGCAGATTTTCATCGGTGGGGAGCCTCAGGTCATCCTTGATGTTTCCATTTTCAGAACGGAGACTGACCTGCAAAATTACCAAGTCAATAGGTCTTGACTCAAGATCCTCGTGCTACAGATTAAGACTGCAAAATTCATTCCCATCTTCATTTAGTTCCTTCATTTAGTTCCGGTAACGTAACCGCCCAAGCTCACCACTAGCAGATATTGTCCTCTTTGGACTTTTCTTTTCGAGCTTCCCCTCAAAGTTTTTAAAACGCATCAGCTAGGGAGAGGTTTTCACACCTTTGTTCCTCTCTCCAACTGATGTGAGATCTCATAATCCACTTCCATTGGGGTCCAGCGTCCTCGTTGGCACACCATCTGGTGACTAGCTCTGATACCATTTGTAACGGTTCAAGCCCACTGCTAGTAGATATTGTCCTCTTTAGGTTTTTCCTTTCGGGTTTTCTCTCAAGGTTTTTAAAACACGTCTGCTAAAGAAAAGTTTCTGAATGCTTCGTTCCCCTCTCCACCCACGTGAGATCTTTTGTTATGAACTTATAACAGGGAGCTTTCTCTCCCTCTCTCTTCCTGGGAGGGGGTGAACAGGGAGATTCCTCAAATCTGAATTGAAGCAAGAAACATAAAAATTAAGCTTCGTATATAAAGCAAATCATGTTTCAATATAATTGAAACTTACAAAACCATCCTCAGATATATCAATCAGATGATAGTCGGTGCGATTAACATAGGGAACCTGCAAGGAATACAAGCAACGTTTCTTAGTAGAATAAAATTAGTAGTTAGAGAGTAGAACACAAGAAGAGAGTGACAACGAAATTACATCGCATTTCTGAGAAGAAGGAACAAATACTTCAAGTCTCTTCGCATTGAATATGTCAATTGCCACAAAGTGGCACTTTGCATGTCCATGCTTTCCATGTTTTGAAGTAGAAACTTCAACGACCTGAAATGAAGGGAGATAGAAAAAAAGTGATGATATATGGCAGCCAAAATATGCTTGGCCGAGTAGCTTGAAAGAATATTCTTTCATATATCCATGGTTCATTTCAGAAAATCATTGCCATACGCAATGAAAATGTGGTTTTGAAATTCATCATCAAAGTGCACCAACCGGGTGAAATGGCATGGCATACATCTTTGAGGAGATCTTTGATGTTGATAGCTTTGTGTGAGATTTCTCAAAGAAAAAAATGTATTCTTCGTTGGGTATTTATCTTTCCATATAGCTCAAGCCAAGGAAGGCTCCAAAAGGAATGTCCCAGGGAAAATGGAACTATAACCATGGACATTGTATCAACACAAAAAGAAGGTGGCATGCATACAAAAGTTCTTTCTAGGAAAGAAAAGCTTTGCTAATGCTTCAAAGACGTTTTGTTAACCAAGAAGACAAAGGCAGCATGAAGATTATATCCACTATTTGTTGAGGATGGTTGGAAAAGGAGTCCCACGTTGGCAAATTAAGGAGTTGATCACAGATTTATAGGTAAGAAATACATCTCCATTGGTACGAGTCCTCTTAGGGAAACAAAAAATAAAGTTATGAAAGCTTATGCTCAAAGTAGACAATATCATACTATTGTGAAAGTTTGCGGTTTTTAACATGGTATCAGAACCATACCCTTAATCTAGACATGTCTAGAATCCTCAAATATCGAACAAAAAAGTTGTGAGCCTCGAAGATGTAGTCAAAAGTGACTCAAGAGTTGAACAAAGGCCTGTCAACCGGCTCGAACAAGCAAGACAAGCATGACCGTGACATCCTCCCTGTCAACCGATTCAAACAAGCAAGACTGGGACATCTGTCATGCAGTCATAGGTAACATGTCTTGGACAAGCATAACTGTGACATCCTCCCCCACTCAATTGGTTGACATCTCTGTCAACCGACTCTTTACAACTTTGTGTTGTAGGTTGAAGTTGACTTTTAGGTCTCTTCAATGTGTTTCCAGCTGATTTTAGTGTTTCGAAGTCTCGTCAAATCTGTAACGAGCTTCTTGGTAGTCAAAAGTGACTCAGTAATTGAACAAAGGGTGTACTGGGCCCCAGAGAAAAAGTCGAGCATCTATTAAAGGGAAGTTGTTCGAAGGCTCCATAGGCTTCGGGGAAGGCTCTCTGGTGTACTTTGTTCAATAAGAGAATTGTTGAGGATTGTTGGGAGAGGAGTCTCACATCGGCTAATTAAGAGGTTGATTATGGATTTATAAGTAAGGAATACATCTCTATTGATAGGAGGCATTTTGGAAAAACAAAAAATAGAGGCATTTTGGAAAAACCAAAAATAAATTCATAAGAGCTGGCTCAATATCAATTTCGTGGTTTTTAAACACTAATAACATTTAGCCTGCCATCTACCTCATTGTTTGCACTGTACAACACACAACAAGGACATTTGACGATATATGGTAAACAGTATATGGTCCGTATGTTCCTGTTGAACTGTTTGACGGCATGTCCCATAGCAAAACTCAACAAGTCAATAAGCCAAGTCCATATGCATTTTTGGCAAACCAGGGCGACAAATCATATTACGTATCCAATTTGGGTGAAAGAAATACTTGCCATTAAAAACAATAAACCGATTATGCCAAATTTTGCACAACCTCTTCGAAATTTATTCCCGCTGCAATTGTTACTGTGGGATAACACATAATACGTAACTAAACGGTCCTAGTTTCATCAACGTTGTGAAACAAGAGAAATTAAAGGGGAAACCTAAATCAATCAGGGAGACCATAAACAACAGTAAGAATTTCCATAATCAGTAGTCACCGAGTAAAAATTCAGGGGACAATCTTCACTAGGAAATAGAAGTACAGAAACAATAATCAATCAAACGTCTGCCCTTCCAGAAAACAAAGAGCCAAGAAAAAATTATAACAAAGAATCTAGACGAGAAGCTTAAAAAAATAGCACAAACCCCCAAAATGTACTCCATGGAAGAAGATCAAAGTCAATCTCAGAAAAGTTACAGAGAAAAAAAAAGAAAGAAGGAAACCTTGCAGGGTCTGTTATTGATTACGATGTAGCCATTTTTGCGAATGGTTCAAGCTTCCTGAGGGAAAGTCTCGGACGCTCCGGCGTTGGCCTTGGAGTCAAAGTGGTGCTCCTAGTCCGACATCGCTGCTTCGATTTCAGACCCCTTTTTTTTTTCACTTTCTCTCAGACGAAGTAATCGGCCCTTATATTCCCGGCTTTTCAGAGACAAATTCCGAATTGAAAGAGATGAAATCGTGGCCGTTGGATTAAGTCCCTCCCGCTTTCCCATCGCCGTTTCTAACTGCTTTTTCCATGTAGGGTGTTTTTATTTATTTTTATTTTTTTTAATTCGTTTTTCCCCCGTAACA